AAAATCAGTATGCATTTTTTGTATTAGATATCTTTAATTACTTCTTTACTTTATTCGGTAATTGGCGCAACAGATTTCTGAACGTGTTTCCTCTATGATACTATTCATCATTTGTTTTCATTTATATGTCTAATTATTAATAAAAATTAGTTTATTTGATAATAGACGTTTCTGTTGTAAGTCAAACACCTGCCACGTGCATTACAAAAATACTATTAATATAATGATTTCTGTTTGGATTCTTTTACGGTAATAAAAATCGGTAAATTAAATTATAATTATAGATACCATTTAAATACCTAGCAAATGATCTTATTTTTGAATGCTTGATGATAAATTTAATTACTGTAATTGATGCCCATTTAATGAAGCATAGTATTCCGCACTTGCTACAGTCAATTTAGCAATATTAAACTGTTATACGTTTGATAAACTTTAACTTGCGACTGAAAATGACAGAGATTTTGTATTACGTGTACACTATCAACGCGTTTCAAAGTTTTATGCCTATCTTGTTCGACAATACAATTTAGTTTCTGAAATTACACTTAAATGTTAGTTTTTCTGCTTGCTTGCTTGATCGTGAATTAGCCCCAGCAATACAAGACACAAACGAAAAGATTATCTTATTTTTCACCAAGAACTCAGTTTCATTTTATCTCGATATTCCGGAGAAATCGCGTGAAAAAGTGTCACAAAATGGGTGGAAAATGTGAAATGAGGACTCGTGGACAGAAATGTCTTCTTTTTTAGGTGTTTCTCATAATGTGGGTTGTTCATTGAGAATATAAAGAAAGAAGTTCTTTTAAAACAGAATCAATTAATGAAAATGCTGTTCCAAGGTTAATGTTAAAGGCTTCAAAAAAGTAAAAGTTAGAAATAAATATTGGAAATATCATCTCTCAAAATTTAATTAACTTCTCGCAAACTCAGTAGTATTTTCTTTAATTAAACTAGAAATTAATCAGTAGCCATCAGAAATTTGAATGGTCTATTTATATATATACGATGGTCATTTCAAGTGGCTATTAATGCTGTTTCAGTTTTCTGAAGCATTACCTATACCTTAATCCATAACTTTCCGAGATATTCGTCGTTTTGAAATTAATAATTTCATTTTTATAGATAGAGTTATAGTTTATCTCATGTTCAGATATTATCAAGGCAAAAATTAGTCAATTTGAATAGATAGGTGGTTTTAATATAAAATCGTCAAAAATAGTTGATTTAATAATAACAAACGAATTATAATCTGTTCATTATTTACGAAAATTAAGACAACAAATAGAATCGTCTATCCTTAAATCGCTGTCAAAACGAATAACTACACTTAGGTCCCTTAAGTTGCTATTTGTCCCATTGATCTATCACTAGTTTTGTTTGGGCTAAAGACCATTATCAGTAGCAAACTGTTTTATTTTCAAACTCTATTTCTTTTTAAATGCATAATAGCGAGTCTATTCAATAAAAACCCGTACCGTAATAAACAGGGTATATCTGAAATAAGTAGCAAGCTTGCAAGAAGTAATAGGGCACGATAAAACAAGAAAATTACGGTCCAAAGTGCAAAAAAGGGCCAGTCCGACCCTGTTGTAATCATGCTGGGAAATACGATACTCCAACGCCGCATTCGATAAGCTGCTTATTAGCAACATCCGTGTTGTATCTTATTTGTTAGATTAGATTAAGTGTGATTGACGAAGCTTATGTTACAGTAAGCCTAAAGTAATTCTTTGTTCTTTTAACGTTGTAGGTTTGTATGCATGTGGGTAGTCGAAGCCATTGACAGTGTGTTAGTGTCGTAGGTCAGTGCAAACTAGTATTATTGCATTGACCAATGCGTGAGTTTCTAGTCGAACAGTTTCCTAGATGCTTTACCTTGGCTAACTCATACTCCTGATCTAATTCCGCTTGATATTTTTGTATAGGGTTGTATGAAACAGCGCGTGTATTAAGCGCCACTGCAGAACGCTGTTGACCGTGTACGATCGCTGCAAGTGATGTACGCCAAATGCTGGACGTTTTCGGGTGACTTAGGAATAACTCTTCTAGTGTACGTTAGTATGCTGTGTGAGAGTGTGTGCATGCTTCAACTGATATATTATTTAATAATTTTTTAAGGGTATGTTAGGGCTATTGACGAGCCATCAAGGAAAAAGGTAACGCACCTTGACAATACCTCAATAGTGGTTTGGAAATTAAATAAAATTACAATTACCTATCCAGAAGATATTAATTCGCCTATTAATGTTTACGTAAAGTTACTTTTTTCCTTTCTTTTGTGTTATTAATACCATGTCGAGGTGTACTTTAAATAGTACTGCATATCATCAGTGGTGAACAAAGTAGTTATTTAATTAATTTTGATCGCAATAAAGGGTTAAACATTATTATTATAGTAGCGTAGCAATAAGGTGTTGACATATATTTTATAAGTGTTCTACAACTTTTCTGATTACATTCTCCATCGATGTGGCTGCTTAATGACCATCGTAACTTCTTTGTACTTTGTCAATTTTTTACCAACATTAGATTGTAACTTCTTCTGGTTTTCTTACAAATTTTTATTCCTTCAACCACGCACCTTTACTCATCGTCATCAAAGCCACCCAAAACGTGCCACTTACTTCACAAACGTCCTGTGTAAATAATATCTTCATGATTTACAAAAGCTAAGCGCTATTATCTTCTATCCATTTCTAATTGTTCCCATTGACAACACAGAGGCTTTATACTGTACTACTAGTGTGATTTGCCACTCTCGTAAAAAGTTAATCCAACTGTTGCAGTATGTTAAATGTAGGAAATAGTTTTATTTTGGGTGCCAGAAAAACCGTTAAATAAGAAGTCTCATAAAAATGACAAATAAATTTTATGTTTAAGGTTGGGAATAAATCAGCGAGTGGCTTATGTCCCTTACAGATCAGAGGACTATTACATGCGAATGCCGCCCAAGAAAACGGATTTCAAAGTATTCCACAAGATTCCGAGTTCAACTTTGTTACTGACGACTTACGACCCTTTTTATAGCCCGTTACTGTCCCGCCTGGATACCGTTTTCCAGCAATTGGGTCTTGGAAGCGACAAATCCCCAGAAACGGAAAAATGCAGAGAAAGGTTGGTCTGCATGATGTACGCTAATCCAGCCAAGTTTGCGCCATATAGTAACCTTGTTTCAGCACAACTTAGCAGGTAAGTTTAAGTCTTTAACTAGTAAGAACTGAGAACTCTCGGTCTTCATAAATAAAAACATCTTACATACATAATATGAACGATATCATTTATTTTAATTTGTATTACGTAGTGTAATTCTTGATTGGCCTAATTTGCCTAATTACTGCCCTTAATACAATTTCGTATACCATTGAACGAAACCCAGCTTCTCCCATTACATACAAGCATACGTACATGATTCGATAAATAATTAATATTCCACGTGGAAAGTAAAGTTAGAACTCTTATTTGAAGTAAATTAAGGGCAATTTAAATATTTAACCCCTTAATAGCTTTCGATGTTATAAACTGAAATTAATTCAGTAGCCAGAAATTAAGAACTATAAAGAATACGAGGTCTGTTCAAGAAGTATCGCGAATTTTGGGTTTTTCAAAAATTATTTATTTATTTATGAATATCTATTTTGCCCCCTTCAAAGTAATCTCCACCAGATATTATACACGTTCTTCCGAATCCTTCAAAAAATCATTTTTTGTGATCTTGTTCAGCTCCTCTTTCGATGCCGTCTTAATCTCCTCAATCGCAGCGTAGCGTCGTCTTTTCATGGGCCTCTTCAGTTTCCGGAACAAGAAAAAGTCACAGGGACTAGATCTAGGGAATACGGTGGCTGCGGCAAATTAGTGTGTTGTTTTTGGTTAAAATTTCGCGCACAAGCAACGATGTATGAGCAGGGGCGTTATCATGGTGCAAAAGCCAATTTTTGTTCTTCCACAAATCCGGGCGTTTCTGACGAATTGCTTCGCCCAAATTAAGTATAACTTGCAGGTGATAGGTACTCATTGACTGTTCTACCCTGTGACAAAAACTTATGATGCATCACGCCCCTGCAATTGAAGAAAACTGTAAGCAAAACCTTCACATCCATAACCATAAATTCATAATTCGTCACAGGTTATGAGCGCAAATTTGGATTGTCGACGACAGAGTCCAACAGCTACTTATCAATGTTAATGCTATGCTGCTTTTGGTCGAAATTGAGCAATTTTGGTACGAATTTCGCGGAAAACCGTCTCATGCTCACATCATTGGTAAAAATCGGACGCACGAACTAATCGATATATTTAAGTCCTTAGCAACTTCTCTAATGATGATTCGACGATTGATCAGTCCTATTTACTTCACTTCATCAATGTTTTCGTCTATTGCTGACGTGCTTGGGCGCCCAGCCCGCTCTTCGTCGTTCACAACTTCTCGGCCCTCTGAGAACATTTTGTACCACCGATAAACGTTGCTTCGGTTAAAAGTAGCTTCACCATATGTCACAGTCAACATTTGGATGCGTCCGCGCACTTTTGGTACGGATTATTTTGTCTATTTTTAGGAAGTAACTGGACATTCCGCATGCCGAAACTTGTTGGTATAAGTGAGAGACATGAGTACCAATATAATGCCACAAAAAAATCGAAAATCGAATATACGTGTTCCGCGGAAATTCAAAATTCGCAATATTGGTTGAATAGACCTCGTATATAGCTACGAAAATATAAGAAATGCTGAATTTTCGCAGGATTTTTATGCCCATCCTTTATAATTTATTGCTTTTAGAAATCTGCCAGTAGGGACGTATTCTACATTCTGTTATAGCTGAATACTAAGTAATTAGTTTGTATGAACATATTTAGGTAATCAAATTACACGGGCGGATTGTGAATTTGTAGAGCCGTGGGCTAATAACTACTTAATCACTCCACTAATTGTCATTTCGTCAAAAACTTGTCTATTATGATGTAGATAGATAGTTACCGTAATAAACACAACCGCGAGAAAATATACTGGGAATTCCCCGTTCCATTTTATAGACGCGCACACGGGCTTGCGAAAACGCAAGAATTATCCTGTCGGTAAATAGAAAAATTTGTGCTCAGAGGAATTATAAAACAAGTACGATTACATGAGCAAGACCAAGACTTAACACGCAAGACCAAGCCGAAGACTGAGACTATATCAGCAAGACCAAAACCAAGACTAGAATTATTTGAGCAAGACCAAGGCCAAGCACGAATAAGCAAGACCAACACCAATATCATGACAGGGACAGTCTTGGTATTGGTCTTACTTTGCTCATCACTAGCTACAGCCCAAAGAGCCGTTGAGTAGATCCGCCTATTACAAATTGGAGGATTGAAGGATCTACTGTGCGTATCATTTGACTGCTATTTAAAAAGCAGTATTACTTAATTAGAAATAATTGATAAATCATCTGAATTTGGAATTGTATTTTGACTAATATGCAGAGTGTTCATTGGGCATTCGATAAAACATAAAGACGTCATTTCTTGGGTTATTTTAAGAATATGTCAAACTTTTTCAAAAACAGCAGGGTCGTTTTTCATTAAATTACACAATACTATTGTCGGATTTATCAAATTTTCCACATTTTCCGCTGGAAAACTAGTAATAGCTCCAAAAATAATAAACCCACGGGATTCAAACCCGGAAACCAACTTAATATAATATTAAACTAATTATTGGTTACAATTCTTTTAAATGATGAATACACCATGAATGTTTATAATTCTGTTTATCCGCATTTTTTAAAATTATTTTCATAGCTTGAAACGATAGCGATTTCTGTTTTTAAGGCCGTAAGAAAAGGAAGAAGAGAACTGGATTCTGAATGCCCTATTGACAAATGGAGTAATAAAAACCAAACGGCAAACGGGAATATGAGTCGTCGGGATGAATACAAAACTTACCGCCTTTTAAACGCAAACTCCCATTGAAGTTTACCAACTAAGCATACAATGTGGATTTTAAATAGCTTTCTAGCTCAAAACACCAAAGAAAATATTTCATTTATTGCCGTTGCTCCTTTACATACAAATACAAATAGTCTGGGAAGGGAATTTTGAACTTTAGAAAGGGAGAAACAAATAAATTTCCTTGGCTTTGAATGTTTACTACAGGGAAGATAAGATAAAGACATCCTTGGCTAGCCTATAAAATGAAATTTAGAAAGTTACTTGATTATGAGCTTTTAGTGCCAAAAGTAGAATTAGAAAACAAGGAATCTATACGAAGCAGTGAAATCGCGATGTTAAAAATAATTAACCCCTATTTCTGAAAGTATGAGACAAGAAAATATAAAATGTGGAAAATTTGAGAAATAATCTGTGCCCTCCCAAGATAAAAACGTTCAGTCTCTCAGAGTCTCTGAAAGCGAGACTCGAGTCTCCGTGAATAAAATAATTCGAAGTGGTCTGTATTCTGTCGAAACTGCCAGACGCGGATCGCGATTTCGATCTGTTTGGATCTCATCAGCGCGTCGCAGACTGCTCCGACAGACATAGACCAACTTTTACCTGCTGTCTTAACAGCGCGTTTTAGAAAATACCACAAATGGCGCGGTAAACGCCATCTGTAGTACGATGCTACATTTTAGGATTACGTATGCTCCAACAAGGTGCATTTAAATATATGGATATGTACTTGCTGAAACTAATTCCGGTGTAGCTAACCTCAACGTGATAGGCACGTTACCATAATCGAATAAAATAATTCGAAGATCCAGAGATCGAGATCCAAAAAGATCGAAATCGCGATCCGCGTCTGGAGCATACGTAATCTTAAAATGTAGCATCGTACTACAGATGGCGTTTACCGCGCCATTTGTGGTATTTTCTATCTCGAGTCTCCGTCTCTCTGGTATCTCTGAGAGAGACTGTCAAAAAAACTGTTTAGCGTCTCTGAACGAGAGACTCAAATCTCTCAATAAGTGGTGTCTCGACAGATATGGTTAAAATTTTCTAAGTTCAACATATTTCAGAGATCCCAGTCTTTCTACGAGAGACTCGAGTCTCTCAGTTTTTCAGTTTTATTCATTCAGTCTCTCTGTGAGAGACTCGAATCTCTGAATTAACAATTCTAGCTTTCGAGTCTCTCATACAGAGACTGTGATAGATCCATAAAAACACCTAGCCAATAACTGAGAGACTGGAGAGAGACTGCAAATTTTTTTATAATTTTGGCGTAATTTACGATTTGATAATCTATAGGTATTTTAAAAATTTAATAATTAAAACGTGTCATAGGAGTTTATGTATATATGTATATAACCAATTATACACCCGAATATAAACTTTTAAACCCGCTCACATATTTTCAATTGTTCAGATGAGAGGACGCAGCATCGAAACGGTTTTTATAGAAACAAAATGGATTAATAAAAACTATCTCTATCCTGATTAGCTCTGATTCTTCATTAATTTAGAATACACATAAGTCTACGGTCTGTAGGTATCTATGTATAAGCAACAACTGATTATATAGATTGATGTTTTCAACTCGCATAGATGGAGAAGCAACAAGATAAACCTTAAATTTAATAATAAATGCATTTGTCGAAATATATCTTATTTTAATACGTTTCTTTTCAATTTATCGGAAATGGGACCTAAAATAAAACTTTAATTCTGATTGGTCTTCCATTGCTGAGAACGTTTAATCTTTAAGAAGGTACGATGCTTAATATAGAAAGTAAATGAAAAGCCAAAACGGCTGGAATGTTATATATGTGGCGAAAATAACTTTTATGTCATTAGCTGATTAATTTTTAATGCTTTTTTTGTGTTCATGGTCGTTTCCTCTGCCTCCAGGGAACTTAATGAACTTCGGAAGCCGTCTAGTGATAACCCAGAAATCCTTCGATTTTTCCGGTACATGAAGGCTGCAAGGAATGGACAAGACGGGGAGGAATGTCTTGCCCACGTAGGCTGCCCAGCCCTTATGGGATCCGAAACAAAACCCGCCCTAATTACAACCTACAATGAAATAAACAAACTGGTGCAAGCTCGAAAATTGTGATCTATTGGGAAGGAAATTTCAGAAAGCTATTGCTTTTTCGATCGATTTAAAGTAGCGCTATTAATTTATTAATCTACTTTATTCTATTATTTATTTATTTAGTAATTTATTTAT